CACTACTCTCTCTCTCTCTCTCTCTCTCTCTCTCTCTCTCTCTCTCTCTCTCTCTCTCAATTCCAAAGGGTTTCTGGTCAATTGATTGCAAGGGCATCGTTGCATGGTTTCTAGTGTGGGAAATTCAAGTAGAGGGGATTGATTATTGAAATGTTTATAGAATAAAGGCAGAAAGCAATATATTCAACAACTGGGAAAAAATGAGCTTTTGTTTCTGCAAAATTTAGAAGACAATTGTACTTTGAATCAAGATAAAAACAACTCTAATGACTTTATACATAAGGGTTATTCTAGGCTACACCACTCTCGGTGGTTTGACAAATGGAAATTGGAACTTCTTTGAAAACTGGGAAGTTCTGGAGTCTAAAATCTAGGAATTATTTTTGGAATTGGAAACTCCAGCATTTGATGACCTGTCTGGCATTTAAGGGATTCTGGAACATCCGTGTTTGATAAAATCTGAAAGTTTCCAAGCCTGGAGAAATGGGAATTAGCCAGTTTTAACCATTCATTGAAGTATTTATTGATGAAAGGTTGATATATGTTCATTGAAATGGACTTTTTAATGATGGGTAATCCACAATAGACTTATTACAAATCATAGAGATGCTGTGGAACTCAATGACAATAAAGCAAGAAAAACAACAAACCCATCAAAAAGATTAAATCAGAGAGAGAGACATAAAAATTTCCATATAATTCCATAGAAAGGCAACATTTAATTTTTTGATCCTCCCACGAGTGAATTCACAACAGGAAAACAACAGTTAATAGTCATAGGCATGTCCACTGCACGGATACTTAAGGCCAGACAAGTACAGGAAAAAAATGAAAAAATGCAAATCAAAATAATGAAATGTCACAACAAATTACATGTCTAAACAAACAAAATGAATAACAACCAGGGCGAAAGTATAAAGAAGCACCAAAGAAGAAATGAATAAACCACATTATAAAAAAAAATATTTATTAATTGGTTATCATCACAAAAAAGTTTAGAAACCAAAAACTCCATAAGGCCCAAATGGCGTTCTATTCATGATATGGTTATACACCATCAAATGCTCTAAAGAGAATGTAGAAAAAAGACAAAATAAAATTAAGCAACTCAAATACTAGGGGGATAGAGCACAAAAGGGCAGAGAAAAAGAGGAAGAGAGAGTGTGTCTCTATGGGGGTCGGAGAAAGAGAGAAAAGAGATAGAAAGGATGGGCCTTGCGGGGGGGGGGGAGGCAGCGGTGGCTTAGACAGTGAAATTGTGTAGAGGGATGTGGCCTACCTTAAGATTAAAAGCAATGGCAGGGCCGTTGCAGTTTGCTTTGGGGTGATGGGGTTGAGGAGCCAAGATTAAAGTTTTGAGGAGAGGATCGTGGGTAAAGGGATTGACAGAGGAGCTATTAACTACCTCAGCGAACTAAGAATTTTCTACTCCCAAATTTTTTACCATAAAATAACATTGACTTTTGACTATAAATAGTTCATGTATTTTAAAAAGAGTATTTTGGTCATTTCAAAACCCCACCAAAAATAAAAGTCAAACTTAAGAAGTATCCTTTGACTTCATTTTTTAAAATAAAAAGTTTCCTTTGACTTTTTGAATCATATTTGGATTTAGGGTGCCCTTTCTTAAAATTTTCAAACAACTTATTGCTAATCTATTTTTTGACTTGTAAGGGTATTTTTGGTTAAAATTTCAAAGTAGGAAAGTCTAAGTTCAACTTTGGAACTGTGTAGCCTAGGTTAGAATGGGTCATTAATGGTGGATTTATCATTTAAAAATTATTAAACTTTATGTATGGGTAACTTCGTTATTAAGTAAAAGTACATATGTAATTATCAATAAAAGACAAGGGGTACTTTTGTTATCTTGAAAATGACAGTTGAAATTTTTACTAAAAGACAATAACATTTGTACTAATAAAAAATTTCCTTACATGGACCCTTTCTTTTAACATGTCATTGAATTATGTGAAATCTCTAAAACACATTTACTTAATGATTAAGCTACTTATAAAAAATAAATATTTACCGAAACATAAAAAAAGTAATCATTCTTATTAATTACACCCATCACAATGTTAAACTTTGTATTTTGACCATCACAAAGCTCATTGAATCTATTATCATCTTGGTGGCCTAAAGCAATCTTTAACGCGAGTGAATGAGACGTGCCTTCCTTGGCATACCTAAAACATGATTATGGTACTTTATATACCTAAACACAACCTATTTATGTTTAGCATCTTTGTTTGGATATGCATCCAATATTTTTTGTGGTTGTCGCATACCAATGAGACTGAAGGAGAAGTTTTATAGGATAGTTGTAAGACCAGCCATGCTTTATGGGATGGAATGTGGGGCAGTAAAGAACTAATATCCATAGGATGAGCATAGCTGAGATGGAGGATGTTGAGATGGATGAGTGACAAAACAGGAAACGATTCGGAATGAATATATATGAAGGAACGTAAGTGTGGCTTCAATAGCCGATAAGATGAGGGTCATGTAAAATGTAAATTTAATATAACACCGATTAGGAAGTACAATTTGGTTCAAGTGAAATATCCTAAAAAGGCAAGTGGAAGACCCAAAAGGACATGGATAAAAGTAGAGAGAAAAGATATGGTGACTTTTAATCTTACTGAGGGTACGGCCCTTGATATAGAAGAATGGATGAACAAGATTCATGTAGACACATAGCCAACCCCAAATAATTGGAATAAAGCTTGGATGATGATGATGATGATCTTTTTTGATGCACAACCTCATCGTACATCCACACCTTGTTTAAGAATGCCAATTTGCAAAGGCCCCCTTTTTTGTCATCGTAAAAACCTTCCTTAGTACAATAATATCCTCTCTCAGTCCTTTGACCTTTGTTAGTACAAGTTTTCCCTTATGAAAGTCAAATCCATTTGCTCAGGCAAAGCATATGTAATTATTGTCGACATCATCTTATGAACCAAATATCATGCTTAGATAGACTTTATTTGCTCTGCCCCTTTTTCTGGTCCTTTCGATTTTTAATGGGGGGTAGGGGGAAGATGTTGTTTCGAATAGGGAATCATGCTCCATCATTTGCATGACCCTAGTAATGCAGTGGAAGATAACACACCAGTTGAGATCATCAACGTCATTTAAGTTAACGGAGTTATCTATGCCCTCACACATGTAAAACAAAAAAGTCATCAAGATATGAAGGAGGAACCTTAGACCTCTTTTGACCACTTAGCATAGGATGTGTTGTTATCTGAATACCATAATGCTGGTTATGGTTATGAGTATCCACTACTGGTGATGGTTTTAAACACCTAGAATCTTAAGTGGATCGCCTTTATCCTCGAAATGTGGATTTTCTACATCAAGGACTTCTAGGAACGAAGCATCTCTACTTTCAATGAGACCCTTATCCTTATGGTAAAACATATAACCCTTTGAATCTTTGGGATATCCTATAAAATTACATATTAGAGTTTTATTTCCCACTTTATCTTTGTGTTGGTGTAGAATCAGAACATGTGCTATTGAACCCCCCAATTCTTTAAGTTGCTAAAATTAGGTCTCCTATCGGGGTAGAAGCTATGGCTAACCCTATTAAGTTTATACAGAGCAATGCTCAATGCTTCTTCCCAAAAGTTCTTAGGTAGACTAGCATGAGCATCGTAGACCTAGTCATCTCTAATTCTATTGCACCTTTTAGCTACACCATTATGTTATGGTGTCTAAGACATAGTAGTATGCATTTAAAATTTTAAATAGCATTTTCTTTGCAATAAATAATGAAGGCTTATGAGGAGGTGAATTCACTTCCTCAATCAATTCGAAACATTGTGATGTTCCTACCCAATTGATTTTTTACTTCCTTTTTATACATCTTAAAAATTTATAAAGCTTCTGACTTAATGATTCCCAGTCACTTTTTTGACGAATATTGCTGACAAGTTTAGACTTACTTTATTTAGATTCGGAATGAGGACTTTCTACAACAACCTAGTTATTTTGTTTATACTTGTCTATCCTAGCCTAAGGTGCTAAGTATATGCATCAACAACTATTACAATATCAAGATAAGATTAAGAGGAAACTTTATTATCATTTATATTATTTACATTAGAAGGACTAGGTTTTACTCATCAACCAAGTGTCCCCAAGCATAAATTTGGCCATGCTTACCAATTGAGAAATATAAGGATCGAAAGCGAACTTCAAAGCCATTTCGAATAAGCCATTTCGAATAAGGGGACAAATACAACACTATGCCTCATACTAGCCACAAAATACACATTAATCAATGCAAGATTAATTATCCCTACACACAATCTATATGTTCCAACAGCTAATATACCAGAGTAGGTGTTGTTTCCCATGTAGATGTGCTTTTCCCCAGCTTTGATTTCTTTAAAGGCGTGTTTGATAACTTTCTTTGCAGTTTTTCTAGGAAAATCCTAGTTGCTGACTTTCCTAGAATCTGAGAAGAAAGTGAAAATTGGTAGCTTGGAAGCTGGGAACCTTGTTTGATAAACTATGGTGTTGCTATTTCACCTGTTTGGTATTGGGAGAGCTAGAAACTGCATGTTTTAACCATTCATTATGTATATAATTGATTTGCCAAATGCATATTTTGAATAAGATTTTCTTGCTACAAACTATCTAATGCATTTCTTATAAAATGTAGAGCTAAGATTGAAATTTGTTCTTATATCTATGCATCTTAAAAATGGAAGACACTCAACAATAATTGAATTGCAACCACACAAGTACATTAGAAAAAAATAAGTATATATCCTTCTCAAAAGGTCACCACAAACAACATCTTATGAAATACATACAAATAAGAAAGGGGCCATATGGTAAGAAGAAGGAATCTACACAGTATATACATGATAGCAGTATTCTACAAACTAACTATAGTAAGCTAGGAAATTAAAGCATATATAACATTGATTGAACACAGGTCAACCATACTGGATAAAGGAACTTCATTATCCAATGGAAGCATGTCAATGAAGATTCTTAGAGAAAAATATACATAAAACATATCATAAACAAAATATCAAAGGAAGAAAAACGAGAACCATTATTTGGATCTTAATTAACAGCCCAAAACTGTGGTGGCAAAAATTTATTGGCTCGGGGGTAGTATCTCCCATGTATTGAGGGGCATAAGTAAAATAATGGGAGGCAAAATTTGCATCCAAAATGAAAGCAATAAAAATGAAAATTCACAGTACCAGAAGATCCAAAAATAAAAATTGCATCAAGGAATTTAAAGTGTATTGATTTTTTTTTTTTTTTGGGCAGCAATATCAACTTATTTCCTAAAACAATCAAGGGGAGAAAAAAAAGAATCTTTATACTCACTGAATCCTAATTCATCATGAGATGCAATATGTTTCAAATAGATTTAACAGCATGGAATCTAAAAAATCAGTATGCAAGCCCTAAAATCAGAAGATCGGAAATCACCAAGAGGATTATGCAAAAAACATCACAATGAAATAATTAAAAAATAAAGCTCTCAAAACCTTAAACCCTAATCCACAAACCAAACCCTATGTTTTAAAAACTTAAGACCCTAAAATTCCTAAAATCCAGTAGCTCCGTGACCACTAGGCCCCATTTCCCAGATCCCATTCCCTAATTCATACAAAACCATGAGACACTGCCCATATATCATAGCATACAAGCTCTGAAAATTATGTGTGCAAAGATGAGAGAGCTTAAGCAGAGAGACCAGGAATTTGTAAGTGAAGAACAATGATTTGCTTGTTTTTAGAGAGAGAAGGTCGGATGGAGAAGCTAAGGGGGCATTGTGAATGTGAGGCGGGGATTAAAACAAGAGCCATTTTTTTGGTGGTTGAAACCATTCAACAACTTTGCAGCATTAGTGTCATCTTTCTCTCTCTCTCTCTCTCTCTCTCTCTCTTTCTCTCTCTCTCTCTAACTTGCTCTAATGCAGTCAGCAAACCTATCACCTCAGTTGGTAGGCTTAGAGTTTAACTCAATTCCGATGGAGATGGGCTAGGAGGGAGAGTGGAGCAAGTAAGAATGAGGAATGGGATGGGAGAGGGTCATAAAGTTTTCCCAGATAGTTGCAATGCAGGGTGACCCTGTGTCGCAGTTTTAGTTAAGGGAACCATAAAATGGGGAAAAGTGAGTTCCAAAGGAACCCCAAAAATCCAAAATAAATAAATTTCATAAATAAATTTCAAAATAAATAAATTTCAAAAATAAATAAATTTCAAAATAAATTTCAAAATAAATAAATTTCAAAAATAAATAAATTTCAAAATAAATAAATTTCAAAATAAATTTCATAAATAGAAAAATGAAGCAGAAAAAGGGAAAGAAGATAACTGTAGAACCAGAGGAATAGTAACACGGCTTCAAGGAGATTGGGCTTGAAGATGATCAAATTTCATGACTTCACGATGAGAAAAAAAGAAAAATATGAACAAGTTTCACAAGTTAAGAGAGAAGAGAGAGAGAACTCGAGAAGACTGGGAATGAGAGAGAGAGAGTGTGTGCGCTCTTGCTGAAGCTTTTGACGCAGGTAAAAAACCGGGATTCGGTTATTCAGAAGAGTAGATTCCGACGATTATTCACCGAGTCCGACTGATTCGATCAATTCTTCACCGAGTTAACCGAAAAAAAAAAGAAAAAAAGGATGAACAACTTTTTCTTAAATTATTTTTTAAAAAATTTCAGGATATAAATTATCGATTCTGTCTATTCTTCTGATCCGATTCATTGATTCCCCCATCCGACACGAGTATGAATGTGACCGATCCGAGCCACTGACCGTTTTTTTGTAAAAGGGCAATCCCACGTCCAAATTTTATTATAAGTTATAATTATGGTGCAAATTTTTTTTTAAGATGCCTTTGAAAATCTATTTTCATCTCATCATTTATGACTTGAAAATTTATTTTGACCAGGTGAATTACACGCGCTGCACGTATGTACTTACTTGTAACAGATTAACTAAATATTCAATGATCAAAGAGATCTATTAATTAAAAATTAGATTTATCATGAGTCACCCCTTAGATAATAAGAAAATTTAACTACAATAATATGGATAAGAAATTACAATTAAAAATAAAAAATTTAAAAAAAAATTATAATTTCTTACAATTTTTTCTCCAAAAAAAATATGTAAGGAAAATTTGTATAAAACGACAATGATTTTCAGTTCATAGTTCGTACCATTGTCATTGTCAATATTATATAAGAAAAAATAGTATATTTATGTGCATTGCACGTATAAATGTAAGGAAATATAAAAAATAACAAACACTACCATAAGATAAAAAAAATTGTTGATAAATTTTAAATAGAAGCATAAGGATAGACATGAATTATTTTTTTTGAAATAAATTTATTTAAATGAAATGCTCATTTCTTTGCTTATTTATTTTAGGTTAAGACAACATATTTTTCAAACATTGGATGCTAGTAAATAATTATTTAGTTAATAATTAGTAAAATATTAACCAATAAATAATAGAAGTATGAGCATTTCAAATAAAAATAATTATTTTTAGAATTTAAATCACAAAGGAAATAGAAATGCTATTTGTTTAATAGGTTAAGGTTGAATTCATAAAAAAATAGTTTGAATTACATGCATAACCATTTCACCATGAATTTGAATACATATCCAAAACAAATCAAATCTATACCTTTCTAATAATACAAATTAAAAATAAAATCTATACAAATAAAATTAAAAAGGTTAGTTGCATACCTTATTTAATATTTACTTTGAAGAATGAGAGAGAGCCTTGATTAGTCAAATATCTAAGTTAGTAACCTACACGATACAATAAAAATTAGATTAATTATTTCAAATGTTAAAAACTTAATATTAAGTGGATATTCAACTACAAACATGATTTAAACTAAATAAAAAGAAGTATGAAACATTTTACCGCGCTTCATATAAGCGATAGAATACCTGCATAAGCATAATGCATTAATAAAAATTTGGTCCAACATATAAAATTAATTAATCAAAATTCTATTTATAATGCAGGAACTTCTCACTTGTCAAATCTCTCTCATGTCATCTTCTATACAACTCTCATGCCCCACTCACGACGTCTCTCTCTCTTTCGCTCATGCCCTTCATGACTCCTCTCTCTCTCTTCCATATTGGGATATGGATATCTCGAGTTCATATTAATATACATCATTGTAGATGTATGAGTATATATCTCTTGATAAGATTAGGTGTTTAAAAGAAAAGAAGAGACCAAGTCAAAGTTACTAAATCATCAAGTTAGTTTAGGCTCTTACTATTTACTTATATCTCCAAGAATTATGTCATATTTATCTCCTATAATTATGTGAACCTCCGGTATTTATTGATGTAAACATTCATCTAAAATAGTGCAAATGTAGCCGGTTGGGGATTTGGACTCGTGGACGTAAGGCTTCGACTTAAACCACGTAAATGTTGTATTCTCTCTTCTTCTATCTCCATTCTCCATAGATGTATGCTCTCACGAATTCTAACATGGTATCAGAGCAGAAGTCTTGAGACCTTTGTTAAAAAAATCACTACAGTCGATTTATTCTAGCATGTGTATGGTGAGCATGGGTCTTTCTCGCTCTCTCTACAATTGCTTCTTTCCGTAGCTATTATTTCCAAGGCAAAGGAAACTTCACGGAAATAGATTGCAAACTAGGTTTGCACTAGATGCTATTTTATGTTGCAAAGGTTTTGCAAACTGAAGAGCCAAAGGCGATCCTCACACGATGCAAATCTAAAGATTTGCAAGCTGTCTGCAAATTGCTATCTTGGAATGCTAAAGGTGACGTTTTGTGCTCCTTCAAGTTGATCAAGTTATTGATGTGGACTTGCCTCACCCATCATCCTTGTTGATGTGTTGGAAGCCCGTCTAATTGATGTTTGAACTGTTTGGAAGGGGTGGTGATCTACAAATTGCTCTCTTGGAATGCAAAAGGTGACGTTTTGTGCTCCTTCAAGTTGATCAAGTTGTTGATGTGGACTTGCCTCACCCATCATCTTTGTTGATGTGTTGGAAGCCCGTCTAATTGATGTTTGAACTGTTTAGAAGGGTTTTTGTGGTGATACCTTCAACACTTCCCTTATGTGGAATCAAGTCAAAATTATTTAATCATCAAGTTAGTTTGGTGATAAGGCTCTTACTATTTACCTATATCTTCAAGAATTGTGTCATATTTATCTCATGTAATTGTGTGAACATCCTCTATATATAGAGGTATTTATTGATGTAAACATTCATCCAAAATAGTGAAGATGTAGCCAGTTGAGGCTTTGGATCCATGGATGCAAAGCTTCGGCCTGAACCACATAAATGTTGTGTTCTCTCTTCTTTTCTCTTCATTCTCCATGGATGTATGTTCCCACAAATTCTAACAGCAATCGATACATTAGTCTTATGTGTTCTCATCTTTCTTATGTGTTTTTTGATATGCTCTTCGTATGAACACCTCAGATTTGTTTTGAAAATTTCAATACCTTTTACCGTTTAATAGATATTGTCTCTTAAAAATCTATCCTCGTTTTTTCGAAACCTCTATCAATGGAACTTGGACTAGAATGTCTAGAGCTTTGGGGTTACATTGAAGAGCTCATATGGGTAAAGATCAATCAACTACAGCGAATCATCAGAACAGGACATTGGCTAAATCACAATAAAGAGCATTGCCTTGTTCGAATTAAGGGTAACCTAGAGGTGATTAGTAACATTGACACAGATGTCATTGTTGTTGAGTTCGAGAAACAAGCTGTGCAAGCTAGATGCGACGTACCCTATGCTGGAGAGAATAAGCCCAAGGACAAGAAAGTTGGAGTTATTTGCTCGGATGCATAACACGCATGTAGGATGGATGTCTCTAAGCAACCAATTAAATGAGGTGTGATTAGTTGATGAGGGCCTCAAGGCTAGGTTTAAGGTTGCATATCCTGATGTCAAGGTACAACCACCTTCTCCTCCTAGGGCATCAGCCATGGATACAACAGAAGCAAATGTACAAACGAGGAGCCCTTTTGTTGGGCTAGACGCGAAAGCTCAATCTCAGAGTCGGTCCTTGGTGGATGAGAGGCGATTAACTGGACGCCATTAGGCTGCAGATGTCAACACTTTCTCATGGAGTCGCTAATCGTGGTGCCTCAATCCGTGTTAGTCTCCGTGCGTCAACCCGTGTCGGCCGGAAGACTAAGCGCGAAGGCAGGAATCATTTTTTGCATTGCACCTAAGTTTCATTCCATTGTAGAGAGAGAGAGTGTGTGTGCAACTGTAGTTCTCTTTAAGTGAAGAAATAATGTTGAGTGAAAAAAAGAAAAAAAAAAAATGAAGAAGTGGAAAAGAAAAAAAAATGAGTGGTATTTTTTTTAAAATGTGAACTATTGTCAAGCCCAATTTCATTGTCATTTCTTTTGATATTTTGCAATACCCAACTTGAGGGGAAGAGTATAGGAGATATGGAGATAAGATGAGTAGAGATGAAGTCAACATTTCTAATATGTGGATAAGAACATCAGTTCATACCGGTATTCATGCATTTTTGCTTCTAGCACCTCGCCATGTAGCAGAGCACTTTGTCACACCATTGTTGTAGTGACACCAATCTTTAGTGTTCGTTGCCACTTGATTTATGTTGACTCTTCTAAGTGTCTCCTATTTGATGATCGATTTCTCGATCCTAGTTGATGATCATGTTTCCGTTATATGATCCCGTTTAATGATTGAATTTCTCTATCCTGGTTGAAGATCATGTTTTCCATTACGTGATCCCGTTTGATGATGGAGTTTTCTATCCTATGTGATGATTGAGTTTACTCGATCTTGGGCGATGATCAAATTTCTCAATCCTGGTTGACATCAAGTTTTCTGTTACTTGATCATATTTGATGATGAAGTTTTCCATTACTCCATCCTGTGTGATGATCGAGTTTACTCGATCCTATTCTCTTCAGATGCCTATGTTTCTATGATTGAGTGTTTCGTTACTCAATCCTGTTGAATGATGATTTAGTGTTTCGTTACTCAATCCTGTTGGATGATTGAGTTTTTCATTACTCCATCTTGTGAGAAGATCGAATTTCTTTCGGTTATTTTATCTTATCTATTGATCG